TAATTTCTTTCTATTTTTAGTAGAGACGGGGTCTCACTCTTGCTCAGGCTGGTCTCGAACTCCTAAGTTCAGACGATCCACCCGTCGCGGCCTCCCAGAGTGCTAGGATTACAGGCGTGAGCCACTGTGCCTGGCCCTGAAATTTCCTTTTGAAGAAGTGTTTTGAAAAAAGATAGCTTCTTTGGAAATGCTTGGATTTTTTTTGCCACATATCATATACAGACTTGTTTTACCTTGCAAAGAAATATTCAGGTCATTTTGATTTGACATGATATCACACAGAAATGCTGCATTCCTATAAAAATCTTCTTTCAATAATTCACATTGCTGATTCTGTTCTTCATAAAATTTAACCACCCGTTCTCACAGAGATAAAATTTTGGCTAACACCTGTCCCTGCGATAGCTGTAAGAACCGGTTCCCCTCGGCCCCAGGAACAGAGAAGCAGAGTCACCGAGGATGCAAATGGCAAAGGAGTTTATTTGCTAGCTCGAGCTAGGGTCCAAGTCCCAGAGCACCAACGCAGTGGCCTCCCTATGAACCAGGACCCCGTCCCGGGGTAAAAGTGAAGCTTTTATACTTTTGGTTGCGCACGACACACCGGTGGCATACGATACGCTGAGCCCACCATCCCCTTTCCCCCTTTGTCCATTGGTTCCTTTGAAAGTGGAGGATTGTTTTGACCCCTAATTGGGTGGTCCCAAGCCTCAGGATTTTCAATTTTCGCGCAGGGGCCAGTTCTGATCTGCGTTTGGGGAGGGGGACTGAGACTTAGGCCTACTCTAGGAAGTTCAGCCTGTCATGGAGTTACTCCCGCCCTGTTTTTTTTTGATTAACTATATTTGACTAACAACTAAAAGCAAGCACGGTTACAGAAGCAAATGGCATTAGTTAAAATCAAAGAGAACACATTTTTTTAATCTAAAACAGTTTCTGTTCCACACAAAACAAAGTACATTCTTCTACTATCAATTCCTGCCTTTCAATAGCCAACACACTTTAGAATGATATGGCAAATCCGCACTGAATACTCCATCTTTCAATTTTAGCCTGTTATGAAACTGATGATGCCATGTTGCATTTGCAAGAATATAGTTAACAAGATTTATAACTTGTTGCAAAGTGTCACTTAAAATAGTAGCTTTAGTGTTATGGCAGGGCTGACCGAGAATAGACCAAGAGACACACGCAGAGATTTTGGCAAAACGGGTTTTATACGCCGGCGGGAAATTGGCCCAGAGGGAAATTTGCTCTCCCCAAATTCTGAGCACCAGACAAAGAGCATTGCAGTCTTTTATACACTCTGCTTAAGGAGGAGGGGCACAGTTACAACAGGGTTAACTTTAGTGAGGTAGGGTCCTAAGCTACTTATGAGGGCAAGGTCTCAGGGGAGGAGGAGGCCCAGGTAAGGATCGCAAGGGAGAAAGCCCAGTAGTGGAATTTCTAAGAATTCCACTTTAGTGGAATTTTCCAATCTTCCACTTCATTAGCACAGAGATTTTGCTGATGCAAGGTACCATAAAAAGAAATGACAGCATCTGGATCCGTTAATACTTTTTTATCTGCGCAATAAACCCTTCATGTTTTCCTGTCATGGATGGTGCACCATCTATACAAACACTCACTAAATTTACCAAATTCAGTCCAACTTCACGACATTTATCTTGAAAGTTGTTGAAGATATCTATTCCCCGTGTTCTGTTTGTAAGAGTGCCCAAAGCGAGTGACTCTTTGTACCAAAGAAAATCTTCTGTTATGACCCGAATGAAGTATTAATATAAAACCTGCACCAAGTCAGTAGCATCAGTTGATTCATCCAAAGTTATTGAATAATGTATATTTTCCTTTTGAAGTATTGCATGAAGTTTTTCTGTTAAGTTGAAGTCTAACTCAGGCTGCCGATCAGTTATGGTTCTCCTTGAAAAAGGCAGTTGTTTGTACTTTGAAACATTATTAGGGTCTAAGCATCCCACAACTTTGGCAATGCGTTCTTTCACAATTTCTACATCACTGACTACATGGCTTCCCTTTTTTCCCCAGTGCATAAGTTGCTTTATAAGTTGCTTCAGTGGCATTATTTCCAGGTCTTATTGCTACTTGAAAGAATTGTCTTTGCTTTTGCTTTTCATCTTTTAACATCTGTAGTACAACCTTTCATGCCTCTTCCTCTAATTTAAAAGATTTGTGGTCCTTATGAGTGTTATAATGCTGATAAGCATTGAATTTCTTTAATGTTGATATTGCAGGATCACAAAGCAAGCAAATCATCTTATCTTTAGTAGAAACAGGATAACATTGCA